AACAAAAAAACGAAGTCCAGATGACATGATTCAACCTTTTTTGTTGTTATATACCTGGATGACTGAGAAAACAAACTTTGTGTTTTTGAAACCATTAGTGAAAAGGCCAGACTTCAGGGGTATCTGAGGCAGGCTTGAAACACAAGAGTCAGGGTGGCTTCTGGGTAATACCAGATGGCTAGGCCTCAGACTGACGAAGCCTCTTGGATGAGGGGCGAAACGTTTCTTTTTAACAAAAAAACGAAGTCCAGATGACATGATTCAACCTTTTTTGTTGTTAGGAGTGCCCATACTTTTTCAGCATGCGAGCTACTTTTAAAATGACCAAGTCAAAGTGATCTACTATAAAAATACAAAACATATACTTATTTATAAATGCATTAAGTATTTTTTTGTACAATCCGGTATATGTTGATGTGACTTGCATAACTGTGTGAACCTATATTGTGCAATACAACTCTGTACATTTTTTCCATTACCTTACTCTGATGATTTGCACTGAATGGAATCAGCCAGAGATGCATAGTCCAGACAGTAGATGTTGATAGCCAGCCTCAAGCACACTTCCAAATGATCATCAGTCATGGTGGAACACTATTTGGACTTAATAATCTTCATGTGGGAAAAGGCTGACTCGCATAAATAAGTGGAGCCGAATAATTCAGTCAAGGAGGTCACACATTTTCTCATTTTGGGGTACTTTTCCTCTGAGTAAATTCCAGAACTGTCCATGAGCCCTGGACTTAAGCTGAATGTCAGCTTGTAGTGTTAAAATCTCATCCTCCACTCCAGATATCAGTAAACACCATCCAAATAAAAATGCACAACTGGGCTGTGTCACTCACATCTGTGGACTTGTCAAATTGCAGTGAGAAACACACACAGTCTGCATTATCCTTCCAAAGCTGCTAGGTCAGATCATCGGACATGTCTTCACAGTACCGTGTAACCATATTTCTTGATACCTGGAGAGCTTTGATCCAAGATATTTCTGGTTTGTTTTAAAAGTCTTGGAACGGCGAATCATCTACTTCAACAAATGCTTCTTTTATCATCTCTCTGTCTTGAAAAGATTTCTTCTACTAAACAATGAAGTGACTCACCCAGATTGATGCTTCGGTAGCTGCCTTCACTGCTGTGGTCAGCTGTAGGAAAAATGACTGCTGTCTGAATAACTGGGATTTTAGTTCCTTCAGTTTTCTTTCTCAGCTCACTTTTTGGAAGGAAGTCAGTGTTTTAGTTTTTATGAACAATCCAAAAATGCTGCTTCACATTTCTCTTCTTCGGAATAGCAATGGTAGACTGGCAGACGAGACAAACGCACTTCAAATATGACAATGTGAAGAAAAAAAAATCCTCAGTTCTGCATGGAAATTGTAGTTTGTTTGTTTTTTGGCTTCTTATTTGGGCCCCCCCCCCCCCCACCACCACCACCTATTTTATACCCTTTCTTGAATTTAGAAAAAATAAAATGGAGGATAAATAGTGTAGTGAACTCGGCCTCTGACCAAAACCTGTCTCTGAAGACCTTCATGGGACAGGAACTGTTGTTTCATTGGTTTGAATCCAAAAATACAAATTAGCTCATCCAGAGACTGTCTAATTGTATCCTGAATTAATCAATTGAAAGAACACTCTTCTTTTTATATTATCATTACTATTTTACAATATCTTGATAATCAAAAAAGTGTGTTTAGTTCATATCATTTCTAATGTTGAAGTGAACCACTCATTTTAAATCAACTGTGAAACAGTATTAATGATTTTTAAACCTATTTAAATTATAAATCAAGTTAAATATCTATTTACAAAGTAATTATGCATTTTGATTTTCTGTCTAAATGAGAAGTCAGTGATGTCGGTCAGACAGTCAGAAAACAAGTTATTAGAACGGACTGTATTGTTTTTAAACCTAGCAGACGGTAAAAAGAGAAACACTGGCAGCTGCGTTCCTCTCACTTCTTCATAACATTTCTCTGTCTGTACTAAACGTTCCTAAACATTCTTGCACTCTCTCGACACTTTTAATAACCCTCTGACATCACTAGAACCACCCCCTGTTGGTTGTTTCAACCAATCAGGGAGTATTAAGTGACCGGAAGTGAGGACTCTTTTAAAAGTCGACACTTCCTAGAACTATTCAGTCTTCTCCGTCTTCTCAGTTCTTCTGAGTTCTTCTGAGTTCTTCTGAAGTCTTGGAGTTCTTCTGAGTCTTCTTGACTCTTCCGTCTGTGATGGAGTCTTCTCAAGCCTTCTGGAGCCTTCCACTTCTGAGTGGAAACTCTGACGGAGTCACAGATACTTGCTGTGTAACGCCTTCGACCTCGAAGGGAGCTGGTCCTGTTTGTTGAACGGAGTAAACCACACGACTTCTGACGATGCCCAGCCACCCTGACCGGAGACGCCGTAAAAGCATCGTACTAATGGACTTCTGTTCTGGAGCAGAGGTATCCCTGTCTAAGGTAACGAAGTCTCTGCACGTCCTGAAGTGTACCGGAGGTTTGAGCAGGTGTTGGAAGAAGCGTGCTAATTCTGGTCAACAACATACACCTTCCTCCATCCATCTCTCCTTTAAACCTATAAATTCCTTCCTTTAAACTCTTCTATTTTGAAAGTAATCTAGATGCCTTCAGAAATGTCCTGTTGTCTTATTAGTAAAGCATGCCAAGTTTTATTAATCAGAACCAGATCAGCTAATCAAGTGTACATGTTTTGATGTTAAATTTTGATTCTGTTAAATAAATGACCGCAATTATTCTGATGGGTCAAAGGAAATTAACGTCTCTTGTAACTGATTAAACAATACTCAATTACCTCGGTCACATGGCATTAATTTAACTCGAAAAAGAAAGAACCTGTTATATTTAAATAATTAGTAGTGAAGGTACAGTGAAACTGCACCCCACATTTTACTACATTTGGTGGGACCTTACGTGTTTTAAATAACACATTTGGTGGGACCGCATGTCCACATCAAAGCTGTCCTTGACATACTACAATAGGCAACTTGGTAGCTTTTTAGTTTTGGGCGTGGTTGTATGCGCAATTGCGCATGCCCCATGTGTCAGAACAGATCAGGTCTCTGACTGGCTGCCCTGTATGTCAATCAAGTTACAAATTTCATAGTGAGGATGGATGATAGGCTGACGTCTATATATATATTTTTTTTATGCGAGCTACCCATAATAACTTTGAGATCAACCGGTAGATCACCATTGACGATGGCGATCAACATACTGGGCACCCATAGTCTATGATCTCTTCATAGACATTCATCTGATAGGTTAGAAATCAATAGGGAGCAAAGCTGAACAGATGTGAGGAAAAAAGGGAGGTTTCCACCCAGAACTGTTTTAAATCTGTCTGTCTGTCCATCCGTTCGTCAGTCTGTCTGCCTTGATGTGTTTAAACTTCATCTATGTTTGACTCAAAAGGTTAGAAATGACATGCTCTTATGGTCCAGGTAAAATGTTATGTTGATCTGTGATTTTTAAGTATTTTGTTGTTGTCGCTTGTTTTGTATGTCTTTCAGGGAACCACCAAAAAAGCCAAGAAGCCAGATCGTAAGGAGAGGATCAGTGAGCAGACCTACCAGCTATCCAGGTGGACTCCTTTTATCAAAGACCTCATTGAGGTATACCACTCACCTGGAGCCATTGTTAAACAAACAAACAAACAAACAAGAACTCACTAGAAAAAGTTATTTTTGACGTTACAACAACCTGAAAATTCAATGGGACTAAGGTGTAAGACTTGCCATGATGTCCGTTTCAGACCTTTTCTGCCTCCTTCTTGCTTAGTTCCAATGATTATTTATTTCAAATCACAGAGCAGAAGTTTTATTTTGTAATAGAAATCCCCCCTCAAACACTCGGACAAGGGTTCAGTTCAATCCATTTATACAGTTGTGGGTGGCTGTGGCTGAATGGTTAGAACAGTCGTCCTCCGATGCAAGAGTTGGGGGTTCGAATCCATCAGCAGTCACCGAAGTGTCCCTGGGCAAGACATAGAACTTGCATCGCCTCTGATGTGTGTCCCATTGGTGAATGAATGTGATCTACAAAAGCACTGATTAGTCTCATTAGAATGATTTATTCAATTAGCTTTGTAGAGATCTAGTAGTGTGCTGTATGAATGGGTAAATGAGGGCACAGCTTGTATTGTAAAGTGCTTTGAGTATCTTGATCAGATAGAAAGGCGCTATATAAGTACCGTTCATTTACAACACCAATTCACAACAAACTTCAGGGTAATGTACTTAAAACTAATCAAGTTCAGTTCAATCCTAAAAAGTCAGATTCATAATTCACCTCCATGAGAGTGTAAATGATTGTTTGTCTCATTTATCCTGTGATGGACTGGAATGGACCTGTCCCTCACCTGTCCCACAGTGACTGCTGGAGATGGACACAAGATCCGCATGGCCAGGGAAGAAGGGGGTTGAGAAAATGGATGGATGGTTGGAGGCATGTATGGATGGATTAATGGATGGAGGGATGATGAATGGATGGAGGGATGATGGATGGATGGATGGATGGATGGGTGGACAGACAGAGTATAACCAGTGGACCTTGCAGTGTAATCTGTGTTCCTTCACAGGATGCGATCGAAGACAAACTTGACCCTCGTCAATACCCGTACATCTCCCAGAGACAAGCCTCTGCCAAGGCCAGTGCTCCATCAAGGTGCGTCATTTTTATGGCATGTGTCAGATTAACCAAATAAAGACTCAACCAGTGGTAACAACTATTTGTACGCAAAGTAGAAAAACTTTTGGTACTCATGTTTTTCCCTCTGTAGTGCTCGTTATGGTAACTGGCACAAGAACAGAGGTCCCACAGAGATGAAGACGGGGCCCAGGATTCTAGTGTTCATCATCGGAGGCATGACGTACAGTGAGATGCGCTGTGTGTACGAAGTCACACAGGCCAATGGCAAGTGGGAGGCTCTGATTGGTAAGTTCACAGGAACGAGTTTGAAATGCCTGGATTAGTTTTCTCAAAATCTCAAGTCCAGAAAACTTAGGCTATTAAAAATGTAAATAAAAACAAAAATCAATGATATGCAAATCTCATAAACACATGGTTCATAATGGAAAAAAATCATTATGAATGATAAATTTTACAATTTGAAAGAAATTAATGTAATTTAAAATCTAATGGACTGTACTTATATAGCACCTTTCTATCTTATCAAGATACTCAAAGCGCTTTACAACACAGTCTGCACCTTCATTTACCCATTCATACAGCACTCTATTTGTGTACAAAGAATAATCAGAGCTTTTTCACATTCATACACCAATGGGACACACAGAGGCAATGAGGGGCTCAGTGTCTTGCCCAGGGACACTTCAGCATGTGACCGCTGGTGGAATCAAATCTCTTGCATTGGAGGACAACTGCTCTAACCACTCGTCCACAGCCACCCCAAATGGCAGCAATAGTTTAAAAAAAGTGTGGAAAGGATCAAGACAAAGCTGTACAATAGCTTGTTTGAAGAAAAAACAGCTGGAGGAGCATTCTACATTGATGAAAATGTCCTGATGTTGCTCAGTAATCCAGGTAGATGAATCTAACAATTCTTCTTGTTGAAATGCTTCATTTTTATCCAAAATACTTCTTTAGTCTGAGGAGCTGCAACAAGCTCAGTCTTATAAATAGCACCTTCTCAAAGTGGATCAACCAGTTTGATGTTGACATCCAGAACTAGCTGTTCTCATGATAGAGGACAATCAGCCTTACGACCGATCGGGGCCTGTCTTGTGTTGGATTTCTCCTTGTGCCTGGCTCCTGAGTTAGTGGGGACACTGTCTGATCTGTTGTCCACAGAGACAGTCACCTTGCCTTTGAGTTTTATTTATTAATTATTTTGACTCAAACTTACAGATGAAACAGGTTGTGCCTTTATCACTAATTACCGAGTGTCAAACTTTATCAAGGATAACTGTTTTTAAAGAACATCTCTGTCGAAATAGACCTGTCCAGATTTTATTAGTTCCAACATTACAGCAGAGAACGTAACTTTCTTATAACAATACTCTTACACAAAGGTCATGTGTCCGTTTTTCATCAGGATCTAACTGTAATCTCAGCTGGACCCACTTCCTCATCACTGAATTTTCTCCGCTTGAGAATAAAGAAACAGTGATTTATTAAAACAAATCTTGAAGTGAACTTCATGAAGACATGAAGTTCTGTCATGGAGGTGAGTTCTTCACAGAATAGACATCATAATACAGGTGAGCTCAGTGAAGAACCCAGGTGAGGTCACAACAGACTGTGGGCAGCACAATGCACCACTGGAGACGACGCAGAGGTAGGACCATGAAGACAGCTGGGAGCAGGTGAGAGTGGGTGAAGCTGGAGCAGGAGGTGAACTCTGGAGAAAACTGATTCTGAATGCAGAACCTAACCTTACCTGAGAAACATCCATCCATTATCATCCGCTTGTTCCGAAGTCTGGTCGCGGGGGCAGCACCTTGAGCAGAGAAGCCCAGACATCTCTTTCCACAGACACCTCTTCCAGCTCTTCTGAGAGGATTCCAAGGCATTCCTAGGCCAACCAAGAGACGTAGTCTCTCCAGCTGGAGAGACCTGAGAAACAATAATCATAAAAACCTTTATAATATAAACACTTATCTTGAGAGTGAACTGTTTGAACTGTGTGCCTCAAGATGATCCGTTTTTCAAATATTTGAGAAACATACTCAGACTGACAAAGTTTTTTGGATTAAAAACGAAACGTTTCAACAATTTTTCATTTTTATTCTTTTACGTTTTTCATTAAGAGGACCTGACTTGACTTTGTTAGATTTTTCTACCTGGATTATTAAGTATTAATCTGAATGTAAGGAACATTCTTCATATAGTTTATCTGTCCATCCATCCATCCATCATCCATCTTCTTTACCCGCTTCTTCCTTTTCTGGTCACGGGGGTCACTAGTGTCCATATTCAGCAGTCAATGTGTGAGAGGTGGGGAACACACTGGGCAGGTCTCCAGTCCATCACAGAGACACCTGGACAGGTCTAACTTTGTTTAATTTTCTACCTGGATTATGAGCATGAACTTTGATGTTTTGAACCATTTTAGCTATGAGGAGTTGATGGGGGAGAGGGCGGAAACCATCTTATCACCATCAAACTGGTTGACTCACTATGTTAGGTGCTATTTATAAGACTGTAGTGAACTAGGCCTCCGACCAAAACTTGCCTCTGAAGACCTTCATGGGACAGGAACTGTTATTTCATTGATTTGAATCCAGAAATACAAATTAGCTCATCCAGAGACTGTATAATTGTATCCTGAAGTAATCAATTGGAAGAACACTCTTCTTTTTATTATCATTACTATTTTACAATATCTTGATAAATAAAAAGTGTGTTTAGTTCATATCATTTCTAATGTTGAAGTGAACCAATCATTTTAAATCAACTGTGAAACAGTATTAATGATTTTTTTAAACCTAATTTAAATTAGAAATCAAGTTAAATGTCTATTTACAAAGTAATTATGCATTTTGATTTTCTGTCTAAAGGAGAAGTAGTGATGTCGGTCAAAAGTCAGAGACAGTCAAAAAAGAAGTTATTAGAACGGGCTATATTGTTTTTAAACCTAGCAGACGGTATTAGCGACAGTCAGAGAGAGTCGCTGAGCAGCTGAGTAGGGGAATCATTGTTGACGCGCCAGCTGATCAGATCTTACATCCACTTAATTTTATTGTCATGCAGAACATCAGTGAATTACAAACATCCGTGTCCAAAAGCATCATTAAAACGGATCCGCCGGTTTAAACAGTGATCAAAGACAAAATCCATACACGCTTAAAGCGGTCAGCAAAAGTAGACTTCCCCCATCACTCACTCGCCAAATATTCCCCAAGTGAGCAACAGGTGATCTATAATCACTACCAACACCACGTGATCCCGCGCTGCACCTATCCACAACATTCTGGCCCCTAATTATTACATCATTACACAGTAATAATTACTCATACAACACCATAACCTAAGAAATACACTACATCAAACACAATGAGACAACATAACACATTCAAATAGTCCATGAAAGTCATTTTCAAATAGTCAAATAGTCATTTTCTCATTCTTTCTTCTTTTGTCCATAGTCAGTCAGTCATAGGCCAGAGGTTACCAGCACTTAGCCTAAATATAGTCAGTCTGCGATGTACATCTATCAATCAACCTTTATTTATACAGGTAAATCCCATTGAGCCTCGAGGACTCACTTACAAGAGAGACCTGATTTCAACAAAGAAAGATGACAACAATGGACAACAGCAACAACAATAAGCAGTTATAAAAACTCATACTACAGTTTTTTTTTTTTTTTTTTTTTAACAAATAGGATGGCTAAAAGGAAAAAGGTAACAAAACCAAAAAAACTGCTAGATTCCAAGACAAATGTATAAAACTAAAAACAGGAACATGTCTGCATTGGTCCCTGCCAGGAGTCCAACAGATTCTTAAAGCCACTTAGAGAGGTCAAGGTCGAGAGCTTCAAATCTTTTTGTAAGATATTCCAGGAAACAGGAGCGGAGTAGGAGAAGGCCCTTTTGCCTAGTTCAGTCCTCACTGAGGGAACACTGCAGGTAATAATGTCCTGAGAGCGCACTCCGTAGCTGCACTCACGCAGAGACATGTAGGAGGAGATGTATGAAGGCAGCAGACCAAGAAGTGATTTAAAGATGAAAATGTACCAGTGAGAGAGTCTGCGTGAAGTTAATGATGTCCAGTTAACCAATGAATACAGGGTGCAGTGGTGGGTACGATAATCACAGCCAGTTATGAATCTTAGTGCACCATGATAGACAGCATCCAACATCTGCAGGGTTCTTGTAGGAGCGTTCATGTAAATAATATCACCAAAATCAATTGAGGGAAGGAAAGTCACAGATACAAGGCGTTTTCTAGCATTCAGGGTTGGACAGGATCTGTTTCTGAAAAAGAAACCCAGTTTAATTTTCAGTTTCTTTACCAAGTTTTCCACATGGAGCTTAAAAGAAAGATGTGAGTCGACCAAGATACCCAAATATTTATAGGAATCAACAAACTCAATGGGGACACCATTTGAGGATAAAATCGGAGGAAGAACTGCTGGGACCAACTTCCTATTTGAAAAAAGCATCCCTTTGGTTTTTTCGGCATTTAGGACAAGTTTGAGGTGAAATAAATCAGTCTGGATGTAGTTAAATGCAGATTTCAGAAGCTGGAAAGCCTTAGCAACTGTTTTAGCTCGACAATAAACAACTGTGTCATCAGCATAGAAATGTATGGATGCATTAGGGATGTTTTTACCTACATTATGTATGTAGATTGTAAAGAGGGTGGGTCCTAAGACTGAGCCTTGTGGTACACCATTGTTGACTGTTAAATAACTGGAGGAAGTACCATTATGTTGAACACATTGCCTCCGGTCTGAAAGATAGTTAGAGAACCAACCAATGGTGTGATCTGAGAAACCGATTTCTGAGAGTTTATGACACAAGATGTTATGATCCACAGTGTCAAAAGCTTTAGACAGGTCTAAGAAAAGTGCAGCACAATAATCCTTAGCATCCAGTGCTTCAACAACGTCATTAAGAACCTTCAGTGAAGCAGTGGTTGTGCTGTGTTGTTTCCTGAAACCAGATTGATGTGGAGGTAAGATGTTAAATGAGTCCAGGTAATTTTTGATTTGAGAGTTTATCAGTTTTTCTAGAACCTTGGCTAAAATGCAGAGTTTAGAGATTGGTCGATAGTTGTTCAGTGAGGTGGGGTCACCTCCCTTCAGCAAAGGAAGAACAAAGGCTGTTTTCCAAGTGTCTGGGATGGAGTTTTGTCTTATGGAGAGATTGAAGATGTGGGTCACAGGGACTGTGATGATATGAGCAGCCAGCCTTAAGAAATAAGGTGGAAGTTCATCTGGACCTGCAGATTTTTTAGGATCAAGATCT